AAGTCACCGGGTCCGGGACACGAACCGCGGTTGACTACGTGGGAGTCCAGCGACATAGCCATTACGCTAACTGCTGGTTCCCGAGTTTTTTGTTTTGTTTTGTTTTAATTTAACTTTGTTATTATTACTTTTGTTCTAATTTGACCAGAGAGAGCAAGGGAAAGTCAGAAAGCAAGCCACCAGGTTTGAGACTTGAACCATAGTTGGCTATGTAGGAGTCCAGCAACATAATCACCATGCCACCTGCTGGCCCCAGTTTTGGGGTTCTTATTTTCCTGCTAAGATGGGGGAATCATTCGACAGCCCAGCATAATGACTATTAGGTTAGTGCCTCCACAGAGTACTGTGCTGGGGAGTGATAATTCTGTGGAAAGAGAACAGTCACTGAATAGTGTCCCAGCTTGCAAAATAAATTATATAATCATCTCATACTTAGATATAAAAAGAATGCCTCTATAACTCATTTACCATCAGTAAGAGTTGACTACATTTTTTTTTTGGTAGAGATTTTCGCTATAGGGCACGTGCGCTCGCCAGACAGAGAGACAGAGACAGAAAGCGAGAAATCACTCCCCAGGGAGGATGGTCACGCCGCACTCCCTTCTCCTCCATTCTCCTCTCGGGATCTTGGGCACACATGCACACGCGCCCAGTGTGAGTTTTAAGCCACCGGGTCCAGGACGTGAACCGTGGCCGACTACGTGGGAGTCCAGCGACATAGCCATTACGCTAACTGCTGGTTCCCAAGTTGACTACATTTTTTAAAAAAAGTTTATTATTTCTCCTATGAGCTAGAGAGAGACAGAGGGTGGTACTCACAACAGGGCCTTCATGTCACAATTTACGTGTCGGCTAGTCCAGATCCCAGGTACATACAAGCCTGTGCCTGACATAATCAGGGAGGTCTAAGGATGCTAACCTAGGACCTTTCCCATGTGGGGTCCAGTTGCGCTACACTGTGCCACTGCCTGGCCCATCCATATTTTAAAAGGAAGCCTAATCAGTTACAGCCACTAATGCCAGAGATTAATGCAGACCTGAAAAGAGTTTCACAAATGCATCACTCACCCCAGGTCCTTCAATGCAGACAAACCAGACAACCGAACCAACGAAAATACTTATTTCCCTCCTCTCCAAATTATACAATTCCCTATCGTTTATATCTGTAAACCTCCCAATCTAATGCCATTGAACATAAACACCCTTAAACCTCTGGATTTACATGTCTATCTTAGACAGTGGTACCAAAAACCTGCATGGCTGTATCACAGAGAGTAAGGGTTTTTTCCTTCTTCTCTAGGATTGAGTGAATTTTTTTTCCTGAAAAGCTATTTCCCAAATGTAGGACAAAAAAATTAATAAAAACTCTGAACAGGGGGCCAGCAAGTGGCTTGGTGGTTAAATGCTGAACTCCCACGCTGCTGGGTGAGGTTTGAGTCCCAGATCCAGCACCTTGCTTTCTCACTTTCCCCCTCATTCTTTCTCTGGTGACTGTTCATGTCCTAAAGGAAATTAAAATAGTTATGATTACTATTAGGGAAAAAAAAACCCCTCTGAACAGTATTCTTTATATAGATGATGACAAGGGTGGGGAAATGGCTGGAAAGGCCGTTTAGTGGTCCTGCAGGTGGGGTTAAGTCACATTCAGAATGCAGATTCCAGTGCAAGTGGTCTCACTAGTCACAAAGATAATGGCTATGCCAA